AAAAAAATAGGATCATTTGTAGTATTCCATGTTCGTTGTAACTTTGTAATTCAAAACTGTAAGGAAAAAAAAAAAGATAATAATAAAGCTAAGACAATTTGAACATTAGAATTATAAGTTTAATTGTTCAATTCTAATTCTAAACGCTAAATAAAATTTTATTTAGGAAGGCTTAGATGTTTTAGAGATACTCAGTGGAACTACCTGCATTTTGCAACCTCCTGATATATTAGTGAACAAGCCATTTAAAAATGGCATGACATGAAGATGGGAAAAATGGATGGACGAAGAGAAAGGCGGGTTTACTAAAAAAGAAAACTGCAAAAAAGCATCATACGAATTGGTATGTGAGTGGGTATCTGAAACGTGAAGGGAAATCAGTACGGATCTTTTGGCTCGGTCTTTTGAAGCATCTGGGCTTACGCTTAATCCCGATGGAAGTGAAGATGACAAAATGACAAGCCGTCTCCAGGCTATTATCGCAAATCGTATGAATGAGGTGTATTTTTCTATGGAAGAGGATAATGAACCAGCAAATCAGGATAATGTAGATAATGAATCAAATCCTGATATACTTTATGAATTCGACGGTGAAAGTGTGATGGATGATTACCCCGAAGAAATGGATACTGATGATGATCCTGACGAAATGGACTTTGATTATTGATGAGGTAATGGAAATTATTAAATAATAAATTATTAGAAAGAAAAAAAAGCATAAAACAAATTTAGACTTATTTTTACTTCCCATTTATTGACAGCCCACTGCACAAAAACGAAACCTACCAGTATAGCAAATACAAGGCCCATTTATTATAATAGTGCAGTGCTTTTGATCTTTTTTTTTTTAAAAAAAAATTTAAATTCCTATTGTTTTTTTCTTTTTCCTTTTTTTTAAAAAAAAAATATTATTTTTTTTTTTTAAAAAAAAATAATTCTTTGTTTAAAAAAAAAAATTTTTCTTTTTTTTCCTTTAATTTTTCTGTTACATATTCATTTAGCGATTTCAAGTGCAATTGAGGTTGAACTAAACAATCAGCATTCATCGTCATAAATAAATAAACTTGTATACTGGTACATGCTTAAAATACAACTTCCATTTATCATCAAAAATTGAAATTTGCAATTCAACATAAAGCATACGTTTACTGCAGAAGTCAGAATAATCCAGTTACTCGATATTAAACCCATTAAATGGCAGGGTAAAGTTTTTTTTTACTGGTAATTAACTTTCAACTTTTATTAATGATAATCATTGGCTAGAATTTCAGGACTTTTTAAAGCACTTTCGAGAACAAAAATTACAACGATGATACATAACTGGCGGGACATAAATTAATTATATTTGTATAAGCAAAAGTTTACTGAGAAAGTACTGAACTATTGGTTGCTTATGCTGCTGATATGTCTTTTGTATTTTCGCAGTATATTTTCACTTATGCTTACTCCTATTGTTTAAGTTTTGCTGGTACATAGTTTTGCCTGTTTATTCTTCACATTTGGTAGTTACGCAACAGATTAACTTTATTGCTAGTATTTTATGAAAAAGAATATACCTTAAGGTAATAAATTAAATATGAATTGATTAAATGATAAAAAGGAATAATGTTTGGTATAGATTATTATAAAAGTGTTTGCAAATGGTTTTTGTTTAGTGTCAAAAACTGAATCATAGGTAAAGTTGAATATGAACCTCGAGAATCGCTAATCATTATTAAAAAATGCAATAGAATAGTGTAACCAATCCGTAAGTATGCATATTATTGTTAAAAAAGGTCAATCCAACTGAGAAAGTAGGTATATAAAAAACTTCGAAGTTTATAAATTCTTGTACACAAGAAAGATAGGTAGATATACAGTACGTAAAGTGGGTGAAAAGGCATTTATTAGACGTATTAATAAGCTCAACTTATTATTACAAAATACAATCTATAAACTAAAACCTATTATAATCGACAGACTAAAATACAGACCTTCTTCTATTATGACCTTATTTTTATTCAAATTAAACAGCTACGGTAATAATAAAAGTTTATTTAAGTCTAATGTAGTAAGTCTAACGTAATAACGCAGCCTTGAATAAAATACCTCATTTCAGGTATATATTATCTTCTAAATAAATTTCTTTGAGAGTTTGATTCTTTTATATAGTAAATAAGTACATATAGGAAAAAAGATTGCAGCCGTATAATTTTATTTACAATAATATGTATGTATAACATAATTTTTACAGTATATAAGGGGTACGCGTTAATTTGGAACGCACATGGGTGTTAATTTGAAATCATATATGCTATTTTTGGGAGATCTGATTTTCAAAATAACACTCATGAGTGTTATTTCGGATTTATAGGGTACTATTTTTTAAAAAAATAATAATTAATAAAAATAAAAATATATTTTAATAAATAAAATTAAAAATTTATCTTAGTAATTTTATTTAATTTTTCGAATTTAAGTGCAAAATTTTGTGATATATTAGATATTTCTAAAATGTTCTTAATATAGCTGATTAATGGTATATGATATATGAAATACTCTGTATTATCATGTTCAAATAATTTAGTTTTCTTATATTTTAAGTTTTTTTTTTTTTTTTTTTTTATTATTATTAATATAATGCTATAGTAGAAACTTTATTACAAATAGAAAAATAATTTTAAAACTAAAGATTTCTAACTACAT